CGTTATGTAAAGGTACAATTCCCAATGAGAAATGTAATTGTGTTGTATACCTACAATGTACCAATAAAAGAATTTAATACAAAAAAAGAAATAAGAGAATGAGAATTGAATTCAAGCATAACTAAATCATAAATATGTCAGTAATTATATCACACGTAAATGGTCTAAATAGTCAAGTTGAAGCACAGGTTGAATTTTAAAAAAAAACTATGTGACAACTTAATTCTTAGAAGAATTACTCGCTGTCAGAATCTCTATAAATTCAGTGAGAAAGTATATGAACTGTCTCCTATTTGATCTTTTCCTTAATCTTATTTTACAAAATATTTCCGTAGAAGTCAGGAATGCCTTCTTTAAAGTCAAAATTTTATAAGACCATGTAGTTTATTTTGTAGTTTCTCATAAAGTAGTTTGTGTATTCTAATTTTTTACTCATGAACTATAATGTTTAAAGATTTTATTCAGGTGAACATGAATACAGTGGATTACGTATAGTTCGACCTTCAACTGGGAAAATTGTGAATGAACTTTTTAAAGAGGCAAAGGAACATGGGGCTATCCCTCTAAATGAAGCCACAAGATCTTCAAGTGATGACAAATGTAAGGTCTGTGCTATTTTAACATTAAATCATTTCTATATTTGATCTCATTTTTAAGTTGTTTGTGAACATTTTTCTTCTATGTTATTTTAAATATTTGTTTCATTTTTATGAGATTGTAATCTATTAATGATTGAAAGTTGTGATACTTTCTTTTCTAAGTAATTTTTAATTTCCTTTTAATTTTGAGATGATTGTAGGTTCACAAGAATTTACAAGAATACAGAAAGAACCGACATACCTTTCACCCAGTTTCACCCTCTGATTCACTTTTATATGATTATACAGTAGTACAAGATCAAAGCCAAGAGTTTGACGTTGGAACATGTGTATATATAATTCTATGTCATTTTATCATGTATAGTTCTGTGAAATAACTTATTCAAGATACTGTTCTGTTACAACAAAGCATACCTTTTTGTAGTTGTACCCACCACCTTCTCTCCCAGCACTCTTAATCACCGGCTTCCACTAATCTTTTTTCCATCTCAGTAATTCTGTAATATTGAGAATGTTATACAAATGGAATCATATAACAGGTGGGCTTTGAAGAGTATCATTTCACTCTGCAGAATGTCCTTGAGGTACATCATAGTTATTGTGTTTATTGGCTTTTTGTTCTTTGTATTCCTGATAGCATCCCATTCCAAAATGGCTGTACCATTTTATATTCTCACAGTATATGAGAGATCCAGTTTCTCTGCATCCTTGTCAGCATTTGGTATTGCTATTTTTAATTTTAGAAATTTTTTTATTTTAATTTTAGAAATTTTGATAGGTGTGTTGTGATAACAGTGTGGTTTTAATTTGCCTTTTCCTAATGATTAATGATGTTAATTTGCATTTTACTAATGGCTAGTAATTTATACTTCCTTACAAAATTTCTTTGCTCTGTGAAACTCTTCATGAAATATAGTTTAATCACAATTTATTATAAGACTTGTCATATAATACTTATGGTGGCCTTTGTGAATCTGTATGTACTTGTAAATGTATATTTCAATGTATAAATATGTATCTTCAGATTTGTGCAAATTAGCTCAACTTCTGAGTTACTAATGTTTTTATGAAAGACACCTAATT